CGGCACAGGGACGTGGTCCAACTGACCCCATCTCTCTGTCCTCTCCTTAGGTGTGCTGCTCGCTGCATGCCATGCGCTGGAGAACACCACAGCAGACCCGAGCGGTGAGTTTGCCGATGGGATGGAGCCGGTGTGATCCCGGTGGGATTTATGGACCAGCCTGGGAACAGGCAGCGAAGCGAGGTGTGGGTAAAGCATCCTCATGCCACGCATGTGCTGGATCAGCCGGATGGATGCTCTCGCATCCCATGCACCTCCCTTGGGGATAACAGGTCTCCAGGTGGAATCCTGGCCCCACAGGTGCTTTATCCCTAAGGGAAAACCAGTAAGCAGGGCTCTGCTGTGGGTACTTCCCATGCTCCGTGTTCTGGAGGGGCTGAATGAACCGTGGTCCCATTAACCGTGGCTCCCACAGGGAAGCTGCCGGTGCCTGACGCCGGCTCCCGGCGGCACCGAGCCGGTCACATCCCATAATGAGCCTCATTCATAAAGGCAGCACAATGGGCAGCAGCAGCCAAGAGCCCTTCGCTTCCCCCTGCCCTACACAGAGCGGGGGTTCGCCATCCATCGGGATGCGAGGCTCCGGAAAGGGCTGGTTGCAGGCGAGGGATGGAAAATCCTCCTTTTGGGGCTGGAAAATGGGATGGCTCAGTGGTGTTCCTGCAGTGCCAGGAGGCTTCGGAGCCAAAACCCGTGGCAGGGCAGGCGCTGCTCAGCCCTTTTCCCAATGGATCGGTGCCCAATGACAGGGGCTGGAGGAAAGGGGCTGCTCCAAGGGGTGCAGCACCAGTTTGGGATCACCTCGTGGATGGGGACAGGGTCCATGCAGGCAGCAGCGTGGGGCTAAGGGAGGATGAAGTAGCTGCAATGTGGCCGGCAGCTGTGAGCGTTCCAAGGCTTAATGCGAGCCAGGACACCCCGGAGCCAGCCCTGGATCCAGGGATGCACTGCCCTGTGCTGATGCTGTCCCCACCGGTGCTACAAAGCCACCGCTACTGAGGCTGGGTGCGATGGTGGGCACTGGAAGCAGGGATGTGCAAAGCTGTGTTGAGGGCTTGGCTTTTTGGAGTTAAAACCCCAAAAAGGGGTATTTTTCATGGGATTAGTCAGGAATCAGGGCAGTCCTGGGATAAAGCAATCCCTAAGGATGGAGGTGTTGGGGTTTTCTGCACCCGGGTGTGGATTTCAGCAGCGATGCAATACAGCAGCAATTCCCACCACGAAGCCCAAATCCCAGCTCCTGGCTCCACAAGGATGCTGCCACCACCTCCAAACCTCCTCTCTCCTCACTCTCGGAGACAGGGACATGGGGAAACATCCCTGTCTGAGCCAACCCTGCTCCGTCTTCCCTTGCTTCACCTCCTCGGAGACCCGGAAGCGTTCGGCAGACGTGGGTTTAATTACCCCAGCCTGCCATAAATTCACAGCAACAGGAACTTGAGGTGGCTTTGAAACGACAGCGATCGGATGTGCTTTATACCCAGGCTAATCCGAAAGCAGGATATTTCTTTTCCGTCTCTGCTGCGGAGGATAATTCAAACCAGCGCGGGATATAATGGGAAACAGCATCCCAAAGCCACCGGTCCAGAGCTGCAGCCGGCTCGGGCGTTCTTTAACTCTCTCCTCCTCTGTTTTAAGCCTTAAGCTCTTTAGGAAATTCCTTTAGTGCCAGCGAGGCTTAGTTTCAGTCCTGCTCTAAGTAGGAGCTCCTTTGGGTGGTCCTGGCCAGGATGCAGCCGCTGGACCGCATCCCACGTTGCATCCCCAAAATAAACGCATCCAGCCCTAAACCAGAGCCGGGGATGCCTGGAAATGCCCCCAAATGCCATTTTTTTCCTCCTTGTTTTTGCTCCCAGCTCCGGGCCCGCCAGTGGCAGCAGCAGTGAGGTCCCACTTCAACGAGTGTCCTGACTCTCACAGCCAGTTCTGCTTCCATGGGACCTGCCGGTTCCTGGTCCAGGAGGACAAGCCGGCGTGCGTGTAAGTGCTGGGAATACACTCCTGCAATCCAAATCCAAACGGGTCCTTTGTGTCTTCCCTTTGGGAAGCCCCTAAACCTGGGGTTGAGCATGGCTTTGCCAGGCTCTGGTTGATGCTCCGGTCCTGGGGATGACGCCGATGCTCTTCCATTGGTGCAGGTGCCACTCGGGGTACGTGGGGACGCGGTGCGAGCACGCCGACCTCCTGGCCGTGGTGGCTGCCAACCAGAAGAAGCAGACCATCACCGCCTTGGTGGTGGTGTCAGTGGTGGCCTCGGCGCTGCTCATCGGGGTCTGTGTGCTCATACAGTAAGTAAATGGTGCTGGGGACCTGAGGGGGGGGGATGCTCAGCACCTTTCCCAGCCCATTCCAGGGCAGGATGCTGGGATGCAGGCACTGAGCATCCCTCTCCTTGCTCCCTTGTAGCTGCTGCCGGCTGCGGAAGCACTGCCAATGGTGCCGGGCGCCCGGGGGAGGCCAGGAGAAGCCAGGTGGGCTCCTGAAAGGGGGAACCCCCTGTTGCCACACTGAGACGGGTAAGGGGACCGCGGGGCACCATGGTGGGACACCGGCTGCTGGTGTGTAACCGCGCTCGCCATCCCCTTCCCCGCAGGGGTCTGATGGAGCCCCTCGCCCAGGACAGCCCTCGCCGGGGACCAGCGCAGCATCTCCCCTCTGGTTTCCCTCTTTCCTTCTTGGTTGCTTGGTTGGTTTCCCCCCCCCCCCTTTTTTTTGCCTTTATTCCCCCTTTTCCCCCACCATGGAACACGACAAGAAGCGCCCCGGCACAAGGTGCGGTCGGCAGCACCACAAGGATGCTGGCAGCAGCATCACCCTCTCCAAAGAGCCAAACCCAGCAACGCACAACTGGGTTTTTCTTCGTTGGCTTTTGGGTTTGTTTTTTCCTATTTCTTGGATTATTTTTGGCGTTTTTTAACAGCAGAACCCCTCACCCCTGCAGGAGGGGGCTTTATTTTTCTATAGAGACAGAACCCCTCAGCAGTCGCTCACTTTGGGGGCAGAAATGAGCTTTTTAGTAATAATCAAATGAACTTTAATCCTAGGAACCCTCGTCAGGCCGGTGCTCTAACCTCCCGGCGCAGCCTTTAACCCTCTCCATAGTCTTTTCTCATAACAACCCAAAGCTTTCATGGTTCATTTTGGTTTCGTTCTGTTTTAAAGTCCTGGTTACTCTCATGTCTTCTGTATATGTTGCACTGAAAGTTAATATTTAATGTTTTAATTTATTTTGTGTGGTTAAATTAATGTTGATTTCTATAATATGTTATTGTGATCAGCTGATCTTTTTTTTTTTCCCCTAATACCTGGATTAGAGTTATTTAAGTGATATAAAGGACACTTTTTTTCAGAAAACACATGTTTCAAGGCTTTTTTTGGGGGATATTTGGCAAAGGAGATGCTGGGTGCAAGGGGAGAATCCCCAGGGCACGGAACTGGTACCCTGGTGATGGGCTTAGCGCTGCTCCCTCTACATTTGCAGCCCAAACAGGGCAGCCCTGATAACCTGGTGCTGGGTTCAGCCTTGTTTCCCTATGTTTCCAGCCCAAAACATGAGGTGAGGGAGGAGGGAGGGATGGATGGATGGATGGATAAATGGATAGATGGAGAGAGGGAGGGAGGGATAAATGGATGGACGGATGGATGGATGGATGGATGGATGGATGGATGGATGGATGGATGGATGGATGGATGGATGGAAGGAAGGGTGGGTGGATGGATGGATGGATGGATGGATGGATGGATGGATGGATGGATGGATGGATGGATGGATGGAAGGGTGGGTGGGTGGATGGATGGATGGATGGATGGATGGATGGATGGATGGATGGATGGATGGATGGAAGGAAGGATGGATGGAAGGATGGATGAATAAATGGATGGATGGAAGGAAGGAAGAATGGATGGATAAATGGATGGATGGATGGATGGATGGATGGATGGATGGATGGAAGGAAGGATGGATGGATGGAAGGAAAGATGGGTGGGTGGATGGATAGGTGGATGGATGGATGGATGGATGGATGGATGGATGGATGGATGGATGGATGGATAAATGGATGGATGGATGGAAGATGGATGGATGGATGGATGGATGGATGGATGGATGGATGGATGGATGGATGGATGGATGGAAGGATGGAAGGAAGGATGGGTGGGTGGAAGGATGGATGTATGAGTGGATGGACGGACGGAAGGATGGATGTATGGGTGGACAGACAGATGGACAGATGGACGAATGGATGGAAGGAAGGATGGATGGATAAATGGATGGATGGAAGGAAAGATGGGTGGGTGGATGGATGCAAGGAAGGAAGGGTGGGTGGGTGGAAGGATGGATGTATGGGTGGACAGAGGGATGGACAGATGTACAAATGGATGGATGGTAGGTGGATGGATGGATGGATGGATGGATGGATGGATGGATGGATGGAAGGAAGGAAGGAAGGATGGATGGATGGATGGATGGATGGATGGATGGATGGATGGATGGATGGATGGATGGATGGATAAATGGACGGGTGGATGGATGGATGGACGGATGGATGGATGGATGGATGGGTGGGTGGATGGATGGATGGGTGGATGGATGGATGGATGGATGGATGGATGGATGGATGGATGGATGGATGGATGGAAGGATGGATGGACGGGTGGATGGATGGATGTGTGTATGGATGGATGTGTGTATGGATGGGTGGGTGTGTGGATGGCTGAGGCTGATCCTGATCCTGCTGCATGAGGAGCAGGGCTGGGGGGGCTCCATCCTCACACCGGACCCCAGCGCTCCCAGTGGGGCCCCTCCGCAGGGCGACGCCCCCCGCGCAGGACCGGGAGATGCTGCTGGGGGGGGCGCATCCGCAGCGCGGGTCCTGCACCGCGTGCGCGCACCGGGAGCCCCGAGGGACCCGCGGCGGGGGCGGAACGGGAGGAGCCGGGCGCTGGTGCCGGGGCCCGCCCCCGGGGCGGGGTCAGCGCTCGGCAGGGCCGGGCCGGGCCGGGCCGCGATGGCGGAGGCGGCGCAGGCGCGGGTGCAGGCGGCGGTGGAGGGCGCGGTGCAGGAGCTGGAGCGGGAGCGCATCCGCGGCCTGCAGGTACCGGAGGGGGGGGGGGAACGGGGACGGGACCGGGACTGGGACCGGGCCCCGAGGGGGGAGCCGCTGCCGCCCCCCCCCCAATGCCCCACGTGTGTGAGCACGAGTGCGGCCGGGAGCCCCCAGCCCCGTGCGCGCCCCCCAGCACGTCCTGTGCCCCCCAACACGTCCCGTGCCCCCTATGCATTGACCTGTACCGCCCCTGCATGTCTTGTGCCCCCACACATTGCCTTGTGCCCCCACCCCATTGCGTCTCCACTGCGCCTCCAATGCACTCTGTGCCCCCCACTTCCACACCCTGTGCCCCCCAACATGTCCTGTGTCCTCTATGTATGTCCTATGATCCCCAAGTGCATCTCCTGTGCCCCCATTGTCCTGTACCCCCACATTACACCCTGTTTTACCCATTGCCCTGAGCCCCCCCCATAGCTCCAGACTTTGCCCTGTACCCCCCTCACAGCCTGTGCTCCCCACATTGCATCTCCTATGCCCTCCACACATGCGTTGTACCCTCCACAACATCCTCTATCCCCTACATATTCCCTGTACTCCCCACAGTGCGTTTCCTCTGCCCTCCCATTGCCCTGTGCCCCCCATCACACCCTGTGCCCCCATTGCCCTGTGCCCCCCATCACACCCTGTGCCCCCATTGCCCTGTATCCTCCATCACACCCTGTACCCGCCATTGCCCTGTGCCCCCATTGCCCTGTATCCTCCATCACAGCCTGTACCCACCATTGCCCTGTGCCACCCATCACACCCTCTGCCCCCATTACCCTGTATCCTCCATCACACCCTGTACCCGCCATTGCCCTGTGCCACCCATCACACCCTCTGCCCCCTTTGCCCTGTATCCTCCATCACACCCTGTACCCACCATTGCCCTGTGCCCCCATTGTCGTGTCCCCCCATCACACCCTGTGCCCCCATTGCCCTTCATCCCCCATCACATCCTGTGCCCCCATTGCCCTGTATCCCCCCATCACACCCTGTGCCCCCATTGCCCTTCATCCCCCATCACACCCTGTGCCCCCATTGCCCTGTATCCCCCCATCACACCCTGTGCCCCCATTGCCCTGTATCCCCCCATCACACGCTGTGCCCCCATTGCCCTGTATCCCCCCATCACACCCTGTGCCCCCATTGCCCTTCATCCCCCATCACACCCTGTGCCCCCATTGCCCTGTATCCCCCCATCACACACTGTGCCCCATTGTCGTGTCCCCCCATCACACCCTGTGCCCCCATTGCCCTGTATCCCCCATCACACCCTGTCCCCCCCATTGCCCTGTATCCCCATCACACCCTGTGCCCCCATTACCCTGCACCCCCATGTGTCGTTCCCCCCCCCCCCCCAGCTGCATACACAGGGCGCTCCCCCACAAAGGTTTGGGGTGTCCCCGCTCACCCCACATCCCCACAGGGCACCATGTTCCGGTGCAGCGCGCGGTGCTGCGAGGACAGCACGGCCTCCATGCAGCAGGTGCAGCGCTGCATCGAGCGCTGCCACGCGCCCCTCGCCCAGGCGCAGGCCATCGTCACCGCCGAGCTCGAGAGCTTCCAGGTGAGGACGGGATGCGACAGCCCGCACCGGGATGGGGAATGCTCCGGTACCCACTGACCCCGTTACCTGTGTCCCCAGGACCGCCTGAGCCGCTGCACGCTGCATTGCAATGACAAGGCGAAGGATGCTCTGGATGCAGGGACAGCGGAAGCCAGGGTGCGCGGGCAGCTCGACGCCTGCCTGGCTGCGTGCGGGGACGACCACCTCCGCCTGGTGCCCACCATGGCCAAGAAGATGAAGGACAGCCTGGGGGCCCTGCAGCAGTGATGGGGGCTCCCCCCTGAACCCCGACTCCGCGCTCATTAAAGGCGAGGAGGAGCCACGCTGCTGCCACCCGCGGGTGCTGCGGGGTCGGGGTGCGGGTGCTGCCGGGTGATGCTCGTGTGCGCTATGGGGTGGTGGATTCAGACCTAAATGGGTGGAGATAAGGCAGAAGCTCTTCCCTGTGAGGGTGCTGAGGCGCTGGCACAGGGTGCCCAGAGAAGCTGTGGCTGCCCCATCCCTGGCAGTGCTCAAGGCCAGGTTGGACACAGGGGCTTGGAGCAAGCTGCTCTAGGGGAAGGGGTCCCTGCCCGTGGCAGGGGTTGGAGCTGGAGGAGCTTTGAGGTCCCTTCCAACCCAAACCATTCTGGGGTGCTGCGGTGCTCTGCAGGGCATGGGGTGATGTGCAGGGGATGGGGGGGGCTGCAGACGTGCCCTCCGTGTGCAGCCCCTGCATGTGTGCAGGGCATGGGGTGACCCCGGTGTGCACACACGTGTGTACGCACTCATACAGACATGCACACACGTGGCCGCGCGTGCACGCACATGGTCACGTGCACACGTGTTCATATGTGCGCACACATACATTCTCGCATGTACATATGCACACGTGCACACACATCTCACATGTGTTCTCATGTGCACACATTCACATGTGCACACACATGTTCACATGTGTTCTCACGTGCACACATTCACACGTGCACATACATGTTCTCACATGCACACACACGTTCTCACGTGCACACATTCACACGTGCACATACATGTTCTCACATGCACACACACGTTCTCACGTGCACACATTCACACGTGCACATACATGTTCTCACATGCACACACACGTTCTCACGTGCACACATTCACACGTGCACATACACATTCTCGCATGCACACACATGTTCTCACATGCACACATGTTCACATGTGCACACACATGTTCTCACACGCATATACCTGTTCACACGTGCATACGCATCTCACATGCACACACGTGCACACATGCACACGTTCACACATGCACACACACGTTCACATATGCACACATTCACACGTGCACTCACATATGTTCACACATGCACACACACATTCTCGCACGCACACATTCACACATGTACACACATTCACACGTGCACACACACACGTTCACACATGTACACACATTCACATGTGCACACACACGTTCACACGTGCACACACGTTCACACACGCACACATTCACACGTGCACTCACGCACACATATTCACACATGCACACACATTCACACGTGCACTCACGCACACACGTTCACACATGCACACACATTCACACGTGCACTCACGCACACACGTTCACACATGCACACACATTCACACGTGCACTCGCACATACGTTCACACACACACACATTCACACGTGCACTCACGCACACACGTTCACACATGCACATTCACACATGCACACGCACACACACATTCACACGTGCATTCACACATGCACACACATGTTCACACATGCACACACATGTTCACACATGCACACACATTCACACATGCACACACATGTTCACACATGCACACACGTTCACACATGCACACACATTCACACATGCACACACATGCACATACATGCACACACGTTCACACATGCACACACGTTCACACATGCACACACACGCACACACACGCACACACGTGCACACACACACACACACACATGCACACACACACGTGCACACACACACGTGCACACACACATGCACACACACGCACACACGTGCACACACACACGTGCACACACACATGCACACACATGCACACACACGCACACACGTGCACACACACACGTACACACACACACACACACACGTTCACACCCGGGCCGTGCCGTAGGCGCGTTTCTGCCTTCCCGCCGTATTTCCTCGTGCAGCCGCGCACTCCCGCGCTTTGCTTCTCCTCCTGCGCACGCGCTCTGCGCTGCTGCTCGGGGCAGTACGGTAGCGGCTCCGCGGGCTGTGATTGGCTGCGAGGGTGGGAGGAGGGGTGGGAGAAACGACCAAGGCGCGGCCGCCATTGGCTAGCGTGGGAGCGGTGAGGCGGGCGGCGCGGTGACGTCAGGGCGGGGCGCCAGAGGCAGCGTGAGGGGAGCGGGGTCTGAGGAGCCGCCATGAGCAAAGCGCACCCGCCCGAGCTGAAGAAGTGCGAACGGGGACGGGAACGGGATCGGGAATGGGAATGGGAACGGGAACGGGAGGAGAAGGGGGACCGGGAGCGGACGTACAAAGGGGCCCCGCGGCGATCCGCCGCCCGCCGGTTTCCCGGCGTGCACCGCGGTGTCCCCGGTGTCATGGCGGCGGGGATGGGGTGCGGTGATGGCGGTGCTCCCTTCCGCTCAGCCGCCGCCGCCGTTGTCTCGTTGCAGGTTCATGGACAAGAAGCTGTCATGTGAGTCCCGGCGCTGCTCCCGGCCCCGAGCCGTCGTTGCCGCATGTGTCGGCGGGGTAAAGGGGCTGAGCGGCCGCGGGAGGAAAGCGGGGGGGGTGGCGGTCGTGGTGCCCCCCTCGTGGTTCGCTGGGTGCTGCTGCTCAGCGAGGGCCGGAGTGGGCCCTGAGTGGTTTCAGCCTCCAGAACCCATTCATTCGGATCGATACTGATTTATAATTCGGACTCTTCCTCAAAATCCATTCATTTGGGTCGGTATTAATTTAAAATTCACTCTCCTAAACTCTTAAAATGGTCTTCTTGCAATGCTGGACGTGGTAAGGATGATTCTGCTTCCCAAAAGAGGGCTCAGGGAGTGGAAGTCACCGTCCCTTCAAGTGTTCACACACCGTGGAGCCAGTGCCCTCAGTGCCATGGGTTAGTGGTGGCCTTGGCAGTGCTGGGAATGGTTGGACTTGATGAGCTTAAAGCAATTTCCCAACCTGTTTCTTTGATGCTCTAAATGCCTCTGATTAACAACAGAACCTCTCACCCTGTGGCCCCACTCCATTTCAAAGCCACACTCCTGGTGAGAAAACATGGAAAATCTCATATCCAGCACCTTTCCCTTCTCTGATTGTGCTCCCAATTTCTCATAGTGAAGTTAAATGGTGGCCGACACGTCCAAGGGATCCTGCGGGGGTTTGATCCCTTCATGAACCTGGTCATTGATGAGTGCGTGGAGATGGCACCGGGCGGACAGCAGAACAACATTGGCATGGTGGTGAGTGCTGTGGGAAGGGCACGCTCAAGCCTGTAGCTGGTGTGTGGGAAACAACCTGGATTTCAACAGCATGGAACAACCTAGGAGGGTTTAGACTTAAATTGTTCAGTGTTCATCTACCAGGGGGGAAAATCCATGTGAATTTTTGTGCAGCATCAGCTTTTGGGGTAATAAATGGGAGGGAGGGTGCTGAGTGTGCTGCATCTCACTAGCCGCTCTGAACTTCTGCTGTTAGGTAATAAGAGGAAACAGCATCATCATGCTGGAAGCATTGGAACGAGTATAGCACCAGGGAAACCCTCATTGTTACCAGCTGTAACCAGCCCTGACCAACCTGCTCTGTTTACTCCTTGAATCTGCCCTGAAGCACCCTGAGCATAAACTTATTTTTGTTTTGTTAAATAAATTTTGTAATGGTTGACATAAATTAAGTTGTACTTTATGTTCTGGGGGGTGTAATGGGGCAGCTGAAGCCTTGCTGGCTCTTGGGATAGATGTTCTACATTCAAACACAGAGAAAGGTGGGGTTTATCCAGGCAAGTGTGAAATTGGTGCTACTTTGGGTGGCCATCCCCTTCCTATTTCAGAAAGGAGCTACAACACTCTGTCATGTATGTTCAGGGGTTATTTGGCTCTGAAACAGCAGGAAAATGGTAACATTCACCTTAGTGAAGAGTGGTGTGGAGTATTTGTACCAAGCTGGGCTGCACAAAAGCAGGAATTTTCTTTAAATCATGGTAATCACTCTTTAGAGATGTGGTGCAGGAACCAAAGCCTGCTGGAACTGACTGGGACTGAAGAAACCTTTCCATCATTCCCCCAGATGGGTCCAAATTAAGTCTTTTGGATATGTTTTTTGTGAGCAAAGGTGCTTCCACATACAGGTCCTTAGAGGCAGAAATCATCTTTTTCACCACTGTGGTTTTAATTCAGTTCAAGTTTAATACAAGGTGTCAAGTACTTTCTCCAGCACCACTAAGGATGCCATTTGTAAGGGCAATATTCAGACACAGCTGAGGTATGGCAGCGTTATTAGAGGCAGTTATGGGACACAGACTCTTCTCCTCTAAATTATTAATGCTTTTAAACCTTAATAAAGCAAATGACAGGGGCGGCTTTGACTGCTTACAACCGATTTTGGCAACTCATGTCCTCCTAGCAGACCAGTCCCCCCAGCCCATAAGCTCCAGTACTTGTTCTGGAAGCAAATTAAAAACACAGCCTCGATTTCCACCACACTAATAGGAATAACTTGACAAACCCTTCTCAGATAACTGAGGTGGAGAGATTTACAGTCAAGAAGTTGACATTCCCTCCCTGAAATACTTGGGAGAGGGAAGGCGATGTGCCTTAATCGCAGTAATCACAGTGATGCAGATCCTGAGTGGACTTCTTACCATGGAGGGTGTTTTGGGGTCAATATTGCATTTAAAACTACTTTAATCTCACACGGGGATAGATGGAGCAGTTTTCCCAGCGAAGGACCACAGGAATTTGCTTGGGGAAGGGCCAGTTCACATGGGAAAGCTTCCTCTGTCATCCTAGTCCATCTTGAGCTGGCTGCACATCCCCTCTGAGGGGCTAAGCGAAGAGTTAATCGTTCCTTAGCTCTAACTGTGGTTAAACAGCTACAGGACACGATCCTTATCTTCAGATGCTTCCAGCCATTGGCTCTGCGTGGCTCAAAGCTCCGTTTTCAGCTTCTCGTGCAAACCCTCCTGGTCGATCCTGTCGGTGTTGCCGTACCACCGGTGGTAAGCCAGCAGGGCGGCGTTTTTGGCAGCGATGGCGCTCATCTCCATGGCGCTGGCTGCCCGCTCGATGCCGTTCAGGTAGTAGATGTTGTCATGGAGGATGACAGGAGGACACCCCTCAGGGGGGCTGTAGTGGGGGTAGGCCAACCACGTCTTCACCTTGACAGAGTCATAGGAGGAGAAGAGCAGGTTAAGCTGCTCTTTGGTGAGCACCTCCTTGGAGAACACCTTCCAGACGGCCGACTGCAAGGCCGGCTTCCCTTCACCACCTCCATCCTCCACGGGAGACACCACCCCCAGGCTACTGAAGAACAGTTTGGGGTTCTCCATAGTGAAGATGGCACCGAAACTAAAAGCCTCTGGATCGCGGTAACCAAAGAAAGAGGCGTTCAACCGTCCGTGCACGAACGTTACCACAGTCTTGTGGTAAAGGTTTGGGAACTCGGGGACAGGAGGGTCGAAGTTCTTGAAGGTGATGTTGGCCATTTTGGGGCTGAGCGGAGCAGCAATGACAACGATGTCATACGTGTCCCCTGTCAGTCCCGATGTAGTGTTGTACGTCACCTGGTAGAGCTTTATGGGGTCCCCTGGGGGAGAAAAGCTCTGTTAGCCCTCTCTATGGCTGAAGGGAATCCCGTTTGTCCCTTTAAAAACCATCATTCCTTTAAAATGCCACACATTTAGGCTAATGATGCCTTGCTGCAGGCTGAAGTAGCTCTGTGAACTAGCACCAGCTTAGCTGTGGGAGGGTGGTGAGATGGGACTTTGAGCAGAACCCTAATTTCATCTTAAAATAACCCCAGAAAAGACCCAATGTGTTGGTTTGGTCTGCCAAGAGCAGTGATTGAGGCCAACACCACTCTCTAGCTGCTGGAATGAGCCATTCCCATCCCCACCAAAGGGAAAGCAAACCCAACTCACCTGTGGGCCTGGGTCTGACTTTTGGCTCTATAGATAACACTGTACCAGAGATAACTTCAGCTTTGGAGGCGTAGAGAAGGCCAGTGCAGACAAGTTTGTTCCCACCTTTTACTGACCAAAGGCCCGATTCCACCCCTGCCAGAGAGACAGCACCTACAAAGGAAACCACAATCATTAGGGTCATTCATTTGATGTAGCTGTGTGGAGGGAACACTTGAAACAGTAGAAAATAAGGGGGGGAAAACATCCTTTTGGGGCACAGAGGTTGCTGATGGCCAGGGCTAAGCAGGTTGCCAGCACTTTGTTGGAGTGAAGCAGTACCCCAGCTCGGGGACCTGGAATCCCATGCCCATAAAGAGCACCAGGACCCCAGGACTGGGATGTGGGGTGGGATTCCAGCCACATTGGAAGGTTAACCTATGAAACACTCACCTACAAAGCCATTGATGTTGACACCTTGCCCATAATTGACTCTCATGGCTGGACAAACCACCTCATTTATGAATTTGTGGGAGAAGCCAGCTTTCTGCATGGCTTCGTCAATGGTTTGGTTCAGCATCTGGATGAAGTCATTCCCTCCCAGGGCATGAAGCAGGTGCTCGTTGCTGCTGAAGGCATAGTCATGCATCTGGTAGCGATAGATCCTTTAATCAGAGGCAAGAAATTAGTGTTCAGTTGCTGTTAATTACTTTTGCTGAAGCTGTGGAGGATTTCACAATGCAGCTCCTGAGAGCCTGCATGGAACAGCAGGGCTTGTCCTTCCAGCCAAGCCTTAGCCTATGCAGACCTGGACCTTCATTATTCATTTCCTGATCTTTCCTAACAAAATCCCTTTGTGCACAGGTAGAAATTTCATTCCCTTTAGCACCCAGGTGCCAGAGTGTTGGCACATCCCATATCCAATGCACGTTCGCACCTCGTGTTGTTGCTGGTTGAAGATGACAGCACTTACCTTGACCTTTTCCCTTAGAAAACCGATTGATGATGGAGAAAGGGCACCAGAGGCTCCTTTCTCAACACCAATCTTTACAGCTCAGCAGCAGGTTTCACCCATCTCCTGCAGCCTCCATCCCTAGCAGGGCCCAGACCTACCGCATGAACTTGTCCAGGATGTCCTCCACCCACATGTACATCCGTAGGGGGTTGAGCCCGTAGTGCCAGAGCAGCTTGAAGAGGTTGATGAAGTACCAGTTGCTCTCCTCGAACACAAACTCCTCCCCGTTATAAACCCCTGCGAGGCTGCCGTGTCCTGGGGCAACCGAGAGGCCTCGGGGAGAAAACAGCATTTAATGAGAAGTAGAGCTTGTGCCATAGAAACATGGAATGGGTTGAGGTAGAAAGGACCTTAAGCTCATCCAGTTCCAACCCCTGCCACAGGCAGGGACACCTTCCACTAGAGCAGCTTGCTCCAAGCCCGTGTCCAACCTGGCCTTGAGCACTGCCAGGTTGGCTTGAAGCTAAACTCTACCACACCTTGATTCTAGCTCTGTGCTGATAAGGGTGAGCAATTGAAGACTGCATCCCTGAGAAAGGGGAATTCATTCTTGACCAGGAGCCAAGCAGTTATTTGCAGTGACTTCTGGACCTTTATGACGGGTTTTAACGCATTGCCATGGGGGAGAAGGTGTATCATTGCCATTGGGATATGGGTCTCCTTTTACCTGGGTGGAGACTGGGGTACCACAGGGGGCTATGAGGGGGTACTGGAGAAGAGGTATCAGGGAAGGATACTGGGGGTGATTTATGGGGGAAGGATATAAAAGGAAGGATACTGGGGGGGGGGGGATATGAAGGAAGGATATAAGGGGGAACACCGGGGAAGGATATGGGGGGACATTGGGGAAGATATGAGGGAAAGATATTGAGGTATGAGAGAATAATATTGGGTGGATATGGAGAAAGGATATGAGGGAAGGATATTGGGGGGGTATTGGACAAGGATATTGGGGAGGTATTGGGCAAGGATAAAAGGGAAGGATACTGGGGGGGTATTGGACAAGGATATTGGGGGTATGAGGGAATGATTTGGGGGGGGGATACGGAGGAAGGATATAAGGGAAGTCTATTGGGGGGATAAGAGGGAAGGATACAGGGGGTATTGGGCAAGGATATTGGGGGTATGAGGGAATGATTTTGGGGGGATACGGAGGAAGGATATAAGGGAAGGCTATTGGGGGGATAAGAGGGAAGGATACAGGGGGTATTGGGCAAGGATACTGGGGGTATGAGTGAATGATTTTGGGGGGATACGGAGGAAGGATATAAGGGAAGGCTACTCGGGGACATGGGGGAAGGCTAAGGGGGGATACTGAGGGGGATACTGGCGAAGGCTAGTGGGGAAGGGAGGGGGACAACCCAGGCTTGCTCTTTAAGGGGACGTGCCCCCACCAGAGCAGACCTGGACCCAGCGCATCCCTCCGGGGTGCGTGCGGTGCACTTGGGGTCCGCACTCACCCAGCTCCTTCACGAAGTGCTTCATGTGCAGGTTGAGCGGGTGCAGGACGGACCCGCCCGCCTCATAGCCGGCGCCTTCCACCTCCAGCGTGGCCAAGCGGCCCCCGACCGCCGCCCTCTCCAGCACCTCCACCCGCACGCTCCTCCCGAACTTCTGCCGCAAGAAGTACGCGGCGGCCGCGCCTCCGATCCCGCCGCCGACCACGGCTGACGAGAACGGGCACGGGCCGTCAGCGCTGCCCCTCACGGCCCGCCCCGCCGCACCCCCCCCCCCCCTCGGCCCTTCCCCGCTGTACCGATCTTGCCGGGGGCACCGCGCTGCCCCCCGAGGCCCGGCACCGGCGGGCAGAGAGCGGCGAGGAGCACCAAGAGCCGCAAGGCCGACATGGCGGGGGCCGGGCTCAGCGCCGCCCCGGCGGCGGGCGGGCGGACCAGGAGGGCGGGCGGCCATGGGAGAGGGCGGCGGGACGCTGGCAGCCGCGCCGCTGGTGTAGTGGTATCATGCAAGATTCCCATTCTTGCGACCCGGGTTCGATTCCCGGGCGGCGCAAAACTTTTTCTTTGCCATTATAATTAACTACTAATTGCTATTAATTATTAATTAACTATTCATCCCCTTCTTTTCGCTTCCCGTCCCGCGGCGCTGAGGAAGCACCCGGTACCACCGGGCGCAAACCCCTTCGGTCACCGGTAACCGGGCGCATGCGCGGGAGCGTCGGCTGGCGGGAAACCTCATCCGGAGGCATCCCGCCGCCCGCGGTGCGCGCATGCGCGTTACCGCCCCCTCTCGGCCGGCCGGGCCCGCTCGCCCGCCATCTTTGCGAGGAGCGGCGGGGGCTTTGTCCGCCGCTCGGGCTGCCCAGGGCGCTGACGGGGCGGCGGGGCCGCGGCTCGGCGTGAAGAGCTGGGGCGGGCGGTGCCATGGAGGATGAAATGCCCAAGACCCTGTGAGTGGGGAAGGGGCGAGACCGCCCATTGTTCCCGGCCCTGCGGGGAGGGGCGGCCCGGGCTCCCCTCACACACGCTCCCCTCAGGGCCCCGTCGGCGGGATCGGGCCTCCGCGATGGGTCAGCGGCCGCTGGGACGGCTCAGGCCCGCTATTCCCGTTCCCTGCCCTGCTTCCCAGTGGTGCTGTCGGCTTCCAGCTCCCCCCTCCCCCCATCCCGGGGCTCCCATGTGGAGGGAAGGGGGCTCGGGACACGTTTATCCCGCTCGGTGTTCGCTCCAGGCACATTTTAGCGAGGATCTGGCGGAATTGCACCGTTTCTTTTCACTGCCAGCTCATCAGGCGTGTGGGGGGTGCCCTGGGCTCAGAGCCGGAGCCTGGTTCAGCAGCTCCATGGAAGTAAACGGGGGTTGCCCGTGAAACCGGGTGTTTAAAGCACCCTGCGAGCACGTTACTTCCCAAAGAACTCATGGTAGCTGCAGGGCAGCTCCTTGATGTATTAAAGTTATCAGTTGCTTTAATTACAAGCAACTTCTATGTCGGTCTTGGGCAGACGCCCGCTACTGTCAAGGGATCTGGGCTTTCCAAGTGGTGTTGGAAAGGCAGGAGCGCATCCTGGCTTTGTGTGCTTCTCTGGACTGCTTTCCCGTGTTGAGAGCTTGGAAATCACAGCCCAGTGTGTTTCTATTCCACCTCTGTATGAGCTTTGCTGTCTGTTTCAGTGCTGGAGCTATGGGGAGGAAGGACAGGAAGGAGTTCCTGCACCTGGGTCAGAGCAATCCCAGGCACAGCTACAGGTTGGGCAGAGAAGAGATTCAGAGCAGCCCAAGGAGAAGGACTTGGAGGTGTTGGTCGATGAGAAAATGAACATGAGCCGGCTTCAGTGTGCGCTCACAGCCCAGAAACCAACCGTGTCCTGGGCTGCATCCGAAAGAGCGTGACCAGCGGGTCGAAGGAGGTGATCCTGCCCCTCTGCTCTGCTCTTGTGAGACCTCACCTGGAGCATTGTGTGCAGTTCTGGTGTCCTCAGCATAAAATGGACATGGAACTGTTGGAACAAGTCCAGAGGAGGCCACGAGGATGATCAGGGGCTGGAGCACCTCCTGTATGGAGATAGGCTGAGAAAGTTGGGGCTGTTCAGCCTGGAGAAGAGAAACTGTGTGGAGACCTCAGAGCAGCTTCCAGTGTCTGAAGGGGGCCTATAGGGATGCTGGGGAGGGACTCTTCATTAGGGACTGTAGTGACAGGACAAGGGGTAACGGGTTCAAACTGAAACAGGGGAAGTTTAGATTGGATCTAAGGAGGAAATTCTTTCCTGTTAGGGTGGTGAGGCACTGGAATGGGCTGCCCAGGGAGGTTGTGAATGCTCCATCCCTGGTGGTGTTCAAGGCCAGGTTGGACAAGGCCTTGGGTGAGATGGTTTAGTGTGAGGTGTCCCTGCCCAGGATTGGAACTGGATGATCTTAATGTCCTTTCCAACCCTAACCGTTCTATGAGATGGGATCTATTCCATGGCGAGAGGAATGTTCTGTCTTTGGACAGTGGCTTCGTCTACCCCAAGGGCTGCTCAATGACGTGGCTGAGTGCAGTGAAACAAGGCTCTTACGTGACTTAAGCCAGCTCCTTTGGTCCAGCTTCCCCGAGTGCTACACGCTCCCTGCTTTTACAATCCCGTTGTCTTTCTGGTGTGTGCCTTTTGGGAGCTATTCTTGGTGTCTGCAAACACAGTCAGACCTGTTTGCATAGCTGCATGTTGATTTAAGAGCGTGTTTGTCCCCTGTCCCAATGAAGCCGTTGTCTGGAGCCGAGTGGTCTGCTCAAGGGAAGGAGTTATCTGTCCTGGAGCATGTGTGGCTTGTTGCACAAACACGTGTGAGCTGAGTATGGAGCAATGGACCCAGAATGGTGCTCCTTTGGATCGTTCCGAGTGACTTTCTCCATTCATACGGAGTCAATTGTTATGAGCTGAATGTCACAGATGGGGCCGAGAAAGAGCAGTTTGAAGGAAGAAAGTGCAGCTAAAAGGGATATCTTTCCAGCTTGGCTCTGTAGTGTGGGTGAGGTACTTGCTCGTGTGAGGATTCCTGTCCATAGTGCTAACGAAACCCCATCTGGATGTGGGTTACGGGGCTCCTTCCTTGGATGCAGTATCGTGAGTGGTCTGCAAACCACTTACCTTTTCCTTTAGCACCTTTAAGTCGTTTTTCCAGAGCAGGTTCTGGATGTTGTTGGAAGTATTTGCTGTTTCCACGTCACCCCCTTCTTTGAAGGGGGACGTTAGAGCCTTGGTGTTTCAGGAGCTGTATTACTCATGTAAATGATTTCCTGGATAGGCAGCCCATGTTCACGTGGCGCGTTACCTTCCTTGAAAGCAGCTTTTCAATGGCAGAGATTATGAGTCTGAAGAGCAGTTACAGGGCAGACAGTGATTTTGAATTTACAGAGACCTCCTGTTTGTGTTTGACACGCAGGTGCTTGCAGAACACTTCTCATTTACCCTGTATGTCTAAAAGATGCAGAGGTGCCAACATCCACTAGTCTGATATTACCTTTCAAGAAGATGTATTCACTGTGCAGTGAATAAATAGAATTGTCTGCATAGTTTGCCTTGTATAGCATAGTTTCAAAGCAACATTGACTGACTTATTAGTGAGAATCCAATTAGCAGGGGAGAAAGGGATGGGAAAGGTGCAGAAGAAGACAGGAATGCCACACAGGAGAGTTCTCCTGTTCTAGCTGGCAGGGTCATCTCAGCACCCAGTGATTTCTTGTGTAACTGGTCCTGGGCAAGGTCCAGGTGTGCTGGACCCTGCCCCTGTCTCAGCTATAGGGAAGGAGAGCCACAACAGAGCTCTGTGGCAGGCTTAAGGTGATCAAACAGCTTGAGCATGGCATGGAGAGAGTCCATCGGAGGAAATAACACAAGGGATTGTTGCTTGGGGGACTACAGCTCTATTTTTTCCAGCTTGGCATGGTTGACAGTATGGCAGGACTTCACTGGAGTTTGTAAGCTTTGTGTAGAAGTGAGAGTAGTTCACATCTAATGTGGCAGCAGGGCCAGGGCAGGGATTGTGCCCCTGCACTGGGCACTGGTGAGGCCACACCTCAAATCCTGTGTTCAGCTTTGGACCCCTCACTACAAGAGAGACCTTGAGGTGCTGGAGCAGGGCCAGAGAAGGGCACCGGAGCTGGTGCAGGGCCTGGAGCACAAGTGTGATGGAGAACGGCTGAGGGACCTGGGGAAGAGAAGGCTCAGGGGGGACCAATTGCTCCCTACAACTGCCTGACAGGAGGATGGAGCCTGGAGGGGGCTGGACTCTGCTCCCACAGAACAAGGGATGGGATAAGAGGAAACGGCCTCAAGCTGCCTCAGGGCAGGTTTAGATGGAGCTGAGGAGCAATTCCTTGCCCAGAGGGTGCTCAGGCATTGGAACAGGCTGCCCAGGGCAGGGCTGCAGTCACCGTCCCTGCAAGTGCTCACACACCACGTAGCTGAGGCCATCAGTGCCATGGGTTAGTGGTGGCCTTGGCAGTGCTGGGGAAGGGTTGCACTGGATGAGCTTAAAGCTCTTTTCCAAGCTGGTTGATTCCATGATTCTACTACACAGTTACACATTGTCTGTGTGTATGCGCACAGATACCTTGCTTCCATTCCTTTGAGGGGGTGCATTTTGAAAGGTTCCTGGGGCTGTCAGAGGTCACTTCCCTAAATCCTGTTTTTTTTCCACCTAAATCCAGCATTAAGATGGGGAATGCTTCAGGAGATGCCTGTCTGATTATCAGGGTGAAACTCCAGCATGAGTGCAAAGGTTCCTGTGTAGGTAAAGCTCAGCCACAAATAAACCATTAATAAACTTAGACCTGGGAGGTCACTTGAGACTCTCCTCACTTTAGTGGCTTATTCATTATCCAAATGGCGCTGAATTGTTTTAAAAAAGAGAAAATAAGAAATCTCACAAGTTATGACTCAGTTGAACTTGATGGCAGGCCAGAATATCTAGAATATCCTGGTGTTATCAAGCACAAAGTTAATTGCCTTAATGAAGCACAGTAAACCATCCTCTGTTTAAGGAAACCTCAGAAGTGCAGCAGTTACTTGCTTTGTGAGTGAGAGGATGCTTGTGAAGATCTGATACTGGTGTGTGGACTTTAAGAAGCAGAACAGCTCTGACTTCTACTTAAAGCAGTTGTTCAAATTACTAATACGAGGTCATTTCTGACCGAAAACCAGGGGCTGTGTGTCTTGTTCCTCCATTCTCTTGCTCAACCCAACACTGGAGCGCACCCATCTCTTCTGGAAGGCTGTTCAGGCCATTCTGTCAACAGGAGGAGTGCAGCAAGTCCCAGGTTCTGCTGCCTTCTTGTTTTCTTACAACACCTTTACAGCTCTTGCATGGAGACAGGGAGGATTGCTGCTTTATTGACATGGCTCCGGCAGCAGGATTTGGCCAGGACTGTGCTTGCAGGGGCTGTGGTTCACCACAGAATATTCCTTTGTGGAAAGGTGCTGCCCCACCTTTGGAGCTGAGGTTTCTCTGGGTGCTTTTTTTAAAACTCCCGTGACTTGGGCTCAACAACAACAACAAAAACAACCCCACTTGTGGGTTGAGGAGGAGTTTCATAGCCCAGAATGCCAGCATCCCAAGTCAGAGCGGGGCTGCGCTCGCAGAGGCTGATGCTTTCAAATGGGGGAGGACGGGGGAATGCCTACACTTGAGCTCGGTTGTCTCAGGCAGATGTAATGCTTTCGGATGGTGAATCCTTCTTTAAAAGGAACTGACCCAGTCTCCTCTCCTGTGCTTCCTAAACCCAAGATCAAGCTGCTCAGGCAGCTGGGGAGGTGGCATCTGGGGAACGATGACTGCATGGGGTTATCGGAACTCCTGTTCCTAGAGGTGGAAACTGGTTTGTAGGTCGAGGTGTCCACATCTGGCTTTGAACCAGGGTGCAATTTTAGACACAAGCCTTGGGTAGTACCAAGGGCTGAGGACAGGCACTGTGCCACCCACTGTTACCAGACCATTTCTGCCTCGTTGCTCCACACACTTCATGTCAGCACCCTGGGTTGGGTGTTGGGGGAACAGCATTGGGCAGTGTTTGCTCAGTTACTGACGAGCAGACTCGAGGATGGCTTCTAACTTTGTGTTTGCTCCCATAGATACGTGGGGAACCTGTCAAGAGATGTGACTGAAGCGCTCATCCTCCAGCTCTTCAGCCAGATTGGACCATGCAAAAACTGCAAAATGATAATGGATGTAAGAGCCTTCACCTAATGGGTTTCATGCTGCTCCCAGCTCATGGCCTTGGGCTATGCGTGCATATTTTGGAATTCCACTGGAAATACAGTTAACAGGATGTAATAAGGCTGGAGATCACAGTCATGTCCTTTTGCCATCATTTCTGCCTTGTGTCTGATGTTAAATGTAAGGATGGCTGGATATTGTGAGAAGGAATGAAGATGTTCATGCATGTGGGTGTCATAGAGGAGATAGACTGAGAAAGTTCTTTGCCATGCTTTAACCTTTCTAAAGCAGAATTGAAACTTCCTGGAGCATCATTAGTGCACTGACTGGGGTCTCTGTGTAAAGTAAGAAGGCCTGTCCTCTTTGAGCTGTTTAGATGTAATGAATAAGGAGCTGAGTTGAACAGAGGAGAGTTGGAAGAGGGTTGTATCAATAATCCTTGGTTTGTGTCTGTTATCAGACAGCTGGAAACGATCCGTACTGCTTTGTGGAGTTCTATGAGCATCGGCATGCGGCTGCAGCGCTGGCTGCTATGAATGGCCGGAAGATAATGGGTAAGGTAAGCTGTCATGTCTACAGGGTGAGTTGGAGTTGAAGAACAGGCTGTCTCAGGTGGTGTGGGTGAAATACCACTTGAGACAAAGTGGATGCACTGCAAATATTAGGCACTTGGTTTGGGCAGAGGGCTTCATGTAACACGACTGAGAGCAGGCTGTTGAGACTGTTATAGGAAGAACAACACAGAGGTGGGGGTGTAGAACTAGAGACAGGGGGTGCAACAAGTGTTTTAACTCTTATCAGAGTTATGAAGCTTATCAATCAGCATAATGTTCCCTCTCCCCCTGAAAAAAACCCACCCATCCAAACCAAATTCCAGAACAAGTCTGCTTCCTGTCTTTGCTTTTAACCAGTGAAACACAGTTTGACAGAACAAACCCTTTCCCAAGAAATGCGTCTTAAACTTGAGCTTCCACCCCAAACTTGAACAGGTTCTGGTGCCCCCGTAGCATCAGAACAAAGTGCTGGGGGTGTCTGATAGCTGGGATTTGCTTGATCTAACGTGAGCAACTAATGCTTGCAGGAGGTTAAAGTCAACTGGGCGACGACCCCCAGCAGCCAGAAGAAAGATACCAGCAGTAAGTGTTGCTTGTGCTTTGAGTACATATTTGATTTCTATGAGTAGCTTTTAAACATAAGCAGTAAGCATCCTACAATTAGAAACAGTAATGTTTTGATCATAATCCTAAGATATTATTGAATGTGTTTGTGTTAATAAACTTAAGAACAAATCTAATCTTTGTCATCAGGTAGTACCGTTGTCAGCCCACAGCGTTCACAAGGTAATTGTGTCTTCTTAAACATAAAATGAAATGTCACCAGGGTGTTCACTAACCACCTGAAGCTCTCTATGGGGGTTTTGTTCCTAAATTGATTTCCTTTGTTTTATGGAAAGACTTCCCTTTCATTTCCCTGTAGTATCAGAAAGCAATTTAGTGTCCACTGTTCCATTCTGGTGCTAATGTCTAGCAGTTTGTTATGAGTGTAGTAAAGCCACAAAGCCCCTTATCCCCTGCTGTTGAGGCAGCTGGCTCCCTGTGAGGTGTGTGCTCCTGCAGACAGGCTCCTCAGGAGTATCTAGACTTCCAAAATGGAGTTCCATTGCTCACAGCAAGCCTGTGGATTGCTGCTTTTCCTGGCCAGCTTTGAATTTCCATAGGCCAGTGGGGTTCAATTACATCAGCATCTGGGCAGGCTGGAGAGTTTTATACCTGCCATGGTACAAACAAGTCTGTGTATCACTAGGATAACATGTGACATGCTGATTGTAGTGGAAGACACCTTAGATGCAGGGCTTTAGGTTTGCTTTAGTGTATGTTTTTTATGGCTCTTATCCAAATTGAAGGGATCCCTGTTTTCATTCCCCTACTTTCAGTCCTAGTTCACTCCTGGATTCACAGCCATTGAATTCCCTTCGTGTGTTGGCTGGGCAACCAAAACTGTTGGCTTTTGAGAGCTCAAACTTCTTTTAACAGCAAACTGTTGGCAGTGCAAGGTCGTTTTTTGAGTTGTTCTTCATTCACCCCTGGTGTTAACCTGGACATTGTAGCCAGGTTCAAAGTGCTCTGGAACAAGAGTTACCCCTATCCTGAAACCTCTTTGAATCTCCTGCCATGTCAAAGCATAACACTAGTGTACAGAGAAAAAGATCCTCCTGTAGTCTTGACACATTCAATAGATAGTTTAAGACTAAAGAATAGTTTTCAGGTTGTACAGTAAAAGCTGGTTGGTCTGAAAAGCGGTTTGTAAAATACAAGCCATAAATTCCACGTGTCGCTGTAGTAGCCTTAAAATCCCTGGCTTAGCACTGCCAAGCAAAGGATCTCTTAGGAATAGCATTAAATTTGTTTCATGGTAAACTCTAGTCTCCATACAGTTGTCAGTCGTAGCTGGGAAGTGCGTTCAGGTGCCACTTTCATGCATTAAAATCCCTTTTTTTGTCTCTTTTTGCCCCAAAAGACCATTTCCACGTCTTTGTTGGAGACCTCAGCCCCGAAATCACAACCGAAGACATAAAAGCAGCTTTCGCACCGTTTGGAAGAATATCGTAAGTCGTTTCTTAGGGCAAATGAAGTCAAAGTTTCTCTCTCCTAAGTGGAGGCAACCTTATGTTTCAGTAAGTAAAACAGGAGAGTTGGTGCAGTGCAGGATTCACCTCTTCATCCAGCGGCTTGAGTGTGAGCGGTCGGGCGTGAGGCAGGGACCCGGAACCCAAAGCCTTTAGAGCAGTTTGTTCTGCTTTCCTAGACAGGTTGCATCCAACTTGCTTTGGTTTTATACTCCTTGCCTCGTCTGGCAAAGCAACACCAAAACAACCTGACTCCTAAAGCTGGGGTTTGCATTCCCCTCTTGGTGATCACATCAGCACAGTCCGTGACCAAGTCCGTGTGCACGTTCACGTTGTGTGAGGCTTGAGTTTCTTTGTTAGCCATGGTGTGCCAGCCACCCATAGCCAAAGTTTAATTCCTGTTTCCCACAAAATGAACCTTTTTTAGCACCAGACTCATTGGGGCACCTGGAGGCTGCAGTTAGAGTGGCCTCAAAGCGTTTGGCGCTGGGTCAGTGTAAGCCTTTGACCCGAAGGGCTCAGCCAAAGCCATGGGGCATCTCAGGTCAAGGAGCTGCCCTCGTCCCAGCAGTGCTGAGTGATGGTGTAGCGAGTGAACGTGTTGCAAAGGGGGAATGGTGCTCACAGGTCTCCACCACCTGCCAGTTTGTTGTATTGAAGGTGTAGCTGAGTAAGGAGCGGTTCGTTCATTCCATCCTCCAAATGTAAACCATTAATTTTCCTTGTAGTGTTGTCTGTACTGGACATTGAAGTTTCTTGATGGTGATGTAAGAGAACATAGAGTGCTTTGGAGTGTTGGGTAGTGAACATGTAATTGAAGTAAGTTTGTTTTTTGTTTGTCTTTTTTCCCCCTCAGAGCCCAGTGTATTACTCTTGTAATGCCAGCTTGATTTCCTCTTATGATAAGGTTTTGAAAACAAAATGTGATCTGAATGTGACTTGCTTCAGACAACTATAATGCTTGACTGCATCTTTTTGTAATTGTCATCTAGGAAGTGCAGAGGGTTGGACTCCTAAGGAGAGTCACTTTATCCTCTGGGCAAATGTAGTCTGGATGGAAGGGATGAGGGGCTCTAAAGTCAAGCTGAGCTGCTGGAATGAGTATGAGAGGGAGGCAGGAATAGATGGGACCTGCGGTGGAGCTGTGAGAGTTTCCCCTGCCCAAGCCAGCGCTGGGTGTCTGAGGTTCAGTGGACAGTCACCCTTAACAAATGACCCCCCAAAAAGCCCAAACCCCCTCCTGAGTCCAAAGCAAAGCTGAATGTTGGCTGGGGGACTATAAAATCACAGTGAGCATCAGCCCGTGGTCCAGATATGTGGGGCTGTGGCTGTTGTCCCATCTTTTCTAGTAGAGCTTTTTGGACACAGAGCTGTTGCTACATGCTGGTGACAGGGAAGGGCGAGCGATGCTCTTGCCTATGGTGGGGCATTTGTGGCTTGGCCTGCCTCATCCTGACTCTCCAAAGTGAAACTCGGGTTCTTTTCCTCCCCCAGAAGCAGCAGATTAAGTATTAGCCCTGCAATGACTCTTTAGAACTCTTGCTCCAAAAGCGAGGGCTTAAATAAAGCCAAAGATTTTCTACTTGTTCGATTTTAACCAGGAAAAACATTGCTACTGTCTCTTAAGTGGTGGAATGAAGCTACTTGACTTTTCCTGTTCTTCATCAGTGCCTGGTTTCTGGAAATGTGGTGCTAATGGAATATTTCCTGATCATTTTTTCTTTCATTACTATTTTTGTTAACATTGTTGGTGCTAAACTCAGCTTTTTGTTCTCTTAATGACACCGTGGTTGAACTACTGCATGATTAGCCCATAAGACCTGTTGGTAATTCTTTGCATCTGGGGGTTTTTAATCACTGTAAAAGCACACTTTCATTGTGGTTTCCTTTTATGCTTGCTGTACGCATGTTTTCACTTGTTCTCAAGTCTTTTATTTTCAACGTTTTCAATTGAGGGTAAGTAGAGATGAGTTTTTCCCCCCTCTCCCTCTATAGGCTCTTCAGAGCAAACCCAGCTAGGATAAGCAAAGTGCATCTTCTCAGGCAGTTTGCAGCCTATAACCCAAATTCTAACCTAACCCAGGAAAGGGGGAAAAAGACAGGGGGAAGGGGCAATGGGGGTCTCACCAAGAGAAGGGAAAGAACATTTCTGCTGTAGCTTTGGGTGAAGTATTTTCCTGGGGGCCTTTGGTGATGGTGTCAGTGCTATGGGCTGGATTAGACTTAAGATGCAGCATTTCCAGTTACCATAAGGCTTAGAAAAGCTTAAACCCTCCACCCTGAGCATAACAAACCTCTTCATTATGACTTTTCTTGCCAGTCTCTGAATGCTAAACATTGTGCACATGTTAACACTATAGTTTCTCTGCCCCCCCCCCCCCCCATTATTTTATACAGTAAATGACATTGCATGACTTTCTGACTGGTTTTATGTTGTTCCCGTTCTTTTCATGCCTGTCTATGTGGGGCAAAGGAGGGGAGGAGAGGGTGGCCTGTGGTACACAAGAGGATCTCGCCCCTTGGCTAACGTGTCCACAGATTGCCTGAGAAACAGGGTAGAGTGGCATTCCAGGAGTGGGGTTTAGCTCTTGTAGCTGGGTTCTCTTTTTAACTCAATCTCAAATAATAGGGCTCTGGTTATTTTGCAGAGTGTCTCTGAAGAATGGACAGAATTGCCATGGCTAACTACAAGCTACAGTTCACAGTGGACAAACGTTGTAGTTTTCTTATTTACTTTTATAAACTTTCATTTATTTCTTTTCCCTTTTCTTTCTTTCCTTCTTTATTTGTTCCCCTTCTCCTCTCTCGTAGTTTCCGATCAGTCCTGTATGATTGCTGTTGTACAAATGCACTTGAAATGATGTCTGATATGTAGTGTTCTCTTTTTTTTCCTTTTTTTTTTCTCTTTTAAGACATGAATGTTTCAGTGTTTTGATTTTTTTTCTTCAATAATTTCTGAAAATGTCAATCTCTCAAAATTTACAGCTGCCCACAGGCCAAAAAGGGGGTAACGAATTGACCCGAGAAAATTAAAGAATTCAGTTAACAGGCGACGTATGCCTTTTAATTCCTATCTTTTCTTCATTTTTTTCTATTTAATACTTTGAATTAGAAGGTAGAAATGTGTTGGCAAATGAATAGCGCATTTAAAGATTGCATGATTAAAGAGAGCCCTTGAGCTAATGTTAGCTACATGCTGTAAAGTGATTCTTTGGAGTAGCTGCTTTGACCGTGGTTTTGTGTCTTTAACAGTCTTTAAAAGCATTTTGAAGCGGGGGCCAACTGTTGTAAAGTACATTAGAGAAGCTCTTGATTTGCATGTTTACACCATTTAAGTTTAATTTTGCTACTACCTGCCAAAGCATTCGTAAAGTTCTGTGTAGAAAAGAAGCCTTTTGCTTTGACTGTGTTGCTGGTGCAATAAGCAGTTGACCTTAGTAAAGGTGAAACATGAAGATAAGGTGTTAGGGGTGTGACTCAAGTTGTCGTTTTTAGGAGGCTCGGGTGGTGAAGGCGCTGACCTGGGTCTTGTTTCTGCTTTTTAGAGATGCACGTGTGGTTAAGGACATGGCAACGGGGAAATCTAAAGGATATGGCTTCGTCTCCTTCTTCAACAAATGGGTAAGCTGCAGCATGGGCTCCAGTGGCCCCAAAAAGCAGGCAGCCACTATGGGGAGGGAGCGTGCCTTGTCCCAGTCCATGTCCGTAGCTGGTTTCTCTGCCTGCAAGGAGAATTCTTTTCTCTCTCTTTGTCACAACACTCTACTGCTGCTTTAGTGTTTCTAAACACAAGGGTCATCCAAATGGATGATGGACTGAGGTGACAGTGACAATCAAGAGGGTCTTAGGCCTCGCCATGTCCTTCGCCCTGCTGAAATCTGCTTTCTTTGGAATAGGATTTCTTCCAGCACATCACAGTTGTCGGGGAGGGTCATTAGTTTGGCTCTGTCACAAAAGGAAGAGATGCCAACAACGGGTTTTCTTCTCTCCCTCTCATGGCCAGGATGCAGAGAACGCGATTCAGCAGATGGGTGGTCAGTGGCTTGGTGGAAGGCAAATCAGAACAAACTGGGCGACAAGAAAACCTCCGGCTCCAAAGAGTACATATGAATGTAGGTCCTCAAATCCTGTGTTCAGCTCTGGGCCCCTCACGACAACAGAGACATTGAGGTGCTGGAGCAGGGCCAGAGAAGGGCACTGGAGCTGGTGCAGGGCCTGGAGCACAGGGGTGATGGGGAATGACTGAAGGACCTGGGGGTTCAGTCTGGAGAAGAGGAGGCTCAGGGGGGACCTGATCACTCCCTACAACTGCCTGAGAGGAGGATGGAGCCAGGAGGGGGCTGGGCTCTGTTCCCAAGGAAAAAGGGAATGGACAAGAGGAAATGGCCTCAAGCTGCCCCAGGGCAGGTTTAGATGGAGCTGAGGAACAATTCCTTGCCCAGAGGGTGCTCAGGCATTGGAACAGGCTGCCCAGGGCAGGGCTGCAGTCACTGTCCCTGCAAGTGTTCACACACCGTGTAGCCAAGGCCTCAGTGCCATGGGTCAGTGGTGACCTTGGCAGTGCTGGGGAGCGTTTGGATCTGATGATCGGAGAGGTCTTTTCCAACCTGGTTGATTCCATGAGTCTCCCTTATTCATGTCTTGGCCAACCTCCAGCTGTCCAGGACAGCTCTGGCTTTGTAACTCCATTCCCTTGCCTTTAGGCCTTGACACAAAGAGGGACTGCATCAAATTTCCCTGGCAGATCCTCAATTAGGTGTATGGGACCTACTCGATGGGTGTTGGCAGGTCATGCTCCACATATCACGCCGGTCAGCATTAGAATTCCTACATAATGTCTGTCTGATCCACTAATAAGCGCTGTAAAATCTCTTTCAGCAAACGCCAAGCAACTGTCTTACGACGATGTGGTCAATCAGTCCAGCCCGAGCAACTGCACCGTGTACTGTGGAGGTGTCACCTCAGGGCTCACAGGTACTGTGCCTTCACACTGCAGTCACATGGAGCATGGTGAATAACACCCCGATCACCTCACTTTGCTGTTCTGTTTCTTCCTGCTTCAGAGCAGCTGATGCGCCAGACCTTTTCTCCCTTCGGGCAGATTATGGAAATCCGAGTGTTCCCGGATAAAGGCTACTCCTTTGTACGGTAGGCAAAGGATGTGGGTGGATGAAGGTGGTGGCAATGATGGTATCACGTGTTTTGGTGCTGTGGTGCATGGAGGGGTGGGTGTGAAAGCTTCACAGCAGCTTTCTGGGACAGCAGCCTCATCTGAGGAGGGAGTTAGGGCTTGTGGCACCAGTAAAGAAAACCTCTTGGCCCAGTCTAAACTGGTGCAGAGCCCTTCACATATGGGACCTGTCTGTTCCTTGGGTGTGATTTCACAGCAGAGGCAGACAGTCAAGCTTGAGAGGCTTTCTCTGAAGCGTCCTCATCTCTTTGTTGTTGAGGCTCCAGGTAATAAAACCCAATTGTGAACTGATTTTCTCCCCTTGCTGCCAGATTTCCTCATTTGTTTAGGCATGGTTATGACAATGAGGCAGGAGAACCAACACTGAGACAGGGAAAAAGGCCTCATGATTCCCACCACCACCACCACCATGGAGGGAATGGGATAAAGATTCTGTATCCGGGCTAGTGTTCATCACATCCCAGATCCAAGAGGAGCTGTCTGGGGCAGTTACACATGGAGGCGGTGGTTTATGTTGGCACAACTTCTGTTCAACAGGTTCAATTCCCACGAGAGCGCCGCGCATGCGATTGTGTCCGTCAATGGGACGACTATAGAAGGACACGTAGTGAAGTGCTACTGGGGCAAGGAGACACCAGACATGGTCAATCCAGTCCAGCAGGTCAGAACTTCCACACTGCGGGCTTTGCTCGTGAGTCTTTGCTAGAAACCCATTAAGGGGCTGTAAAATCCATCTGTGTGCCAGTTAGAGCTGACACAGTGCATGTCACCTACGGCTTACATCATAGAATCACAGAATCCCAGACTGGTTTGGGTTGGAAGAGGCCTCAAAGCATATCCAGCTCCAACCCCCTGCCACAGGCAGAGACATCTTCCACTAGAGCAGCTTGCTCCAAACCTGGCTATTAAATGAATTCAAGAGGGGTGTCCAACCAAGCACCCATCTCTGTGGCTGTTCTGGTGTCATTGTAGCAGCCAGCCCCCCTCAAAGAGGGTCTCTGGGGTGTGTGTGTCCCACCAGTTGACCCAGACCACCACCTAACACCTGGGTGTTCTCCTCTTGCAGAGCCAAGTGAGCTACCCGCCGGCGTACGGGCAGTGGGGGCAGTGGTATGGCAGTGCCCAGATCGGGCAGTACGTGCCCAACGGCTGGCAGGTCCCTGCCTATGGAGTGTACAGCCAAGCATGGAATCAGCAGGGGTTTAGGTGAGTTACTTGGGCTTTGTGTGAGAGGGGTTTCCCTTCGGGGGGAGGAGGTGATAGTCCAGGTCCATAGCAGTACACAAACTGCCAAGACACCTTGATGCTTTATTACATAGAACCACAGAAGGGAGCTTAAAGCTCACCCACTTCCAACCCCTGCCACGGGCAGGGACCCCTTCCACTAGAGCAGCTTGCTCCAAGCCCCTGTGTCCAACCTGGCCTTGAACACTGCCAGGGATGGGGCAGCCACAGCTTCTCTGGGCACCCTGTGCCAGCACCTCAGCACCCTCATATAAATCACTTCTTCCTTATCTCCAACCTGAACTTCCCCTGTTTCATTTTGAACCCATCACCCCTTGTCCTACCCCTACAGTCCCAGATGAAGAGCCCCTCTCCAGCATCCTTGTAGCCCCCTTCAGACACTGGTGATTTGATTTCCAATATATGGTGATTTGGGATGGGATTTGGATCCACACCCCTCTATTCTGCATTCCCTTCTCCCTCATTACCAACTCATCTCCTAAGGAACCGTTTCCCCCACAGCCAGACACAGTCTTCAGCACCATGGATGGGCGCTAACTACAGCGTGCAGCCACCACAGGGGCAGAACGGGAGCGTGATCACCAACCAGACGGGATACCGTGTGGCAGGGTTTGAAACACCCTGAGGGAGGAGAGCAGCAGGAGACTCCCAGAAGTGTCTGTCACCACCAGGATTTATCCCATCCAGCGGATGCCATGTATTTATTTAAGCAAGAGGAGAAAAGGGGGTTGGGGTTGGGGAGGGGGAGGGAAGAAAAAGGAGAAAATCCCCACAAAACAGCATTTTTTTGATCCTGAAATTATCATCCCCATTGTTTAAAAACCAAAACCGAATCCCACGACACGAGATGCTGGATAGCCGCCGACTTTTGCCTTCTTTTTCCTCCTTTCTGTGCTTCTTAAACCCCTGCGGGTTTGGAAGCGCAGCCGAACGCAGGGACTAAGTGCCACCAGGACCGGGGGGCAGCACATTGCACAACGTTGAACCTTTTTTGGGGTTTCTTGGGTGGTTTTCTTGGCTTTCCTGGGAAGCAGCGTGTGCCGTTGGCCTTCCCAGCGCTTCCCACCAATGTATTATAAATCGCTGTACAAAACCCATCCTTAACAAACACAAGTTAAAAGCATGTGGATCCTGAAGCCTTTTAAACACCCCTCTTGTACAAAGCCTCCGTCCCTCCACTTTTGTTACACTGGGGGTTATTGTTTGGATGCTAAATTACTGATTTACATCATTTTTATAGCTCAGTGTCTTTCAGGGTGGGCTCAGCCTCAGCTCAGCACCAAGGGACAGCAGAGTTCCTGTTTTCACTCTACCACGAAGGCAGGGTCTTGGTTTCCTTATTGGTTGGGTTCTTTTTTTACTGATTTCTACATGGACATGTGCCGGTTCTGTAAAATATTTTAGCAAATTCAGGTTTTGCACAACCATTTGTATGTCTCCTTCTTTAAAAGGTGGGGCAAGGAGTCCTGTGCGTGTGATTTCTGCCTCAGATACCCCCTTTTCTGGCCTGTGGGTGTTGAATATGTGCTCTGGGAGCAGCACTCCTCACTTAGTGTTGAAGAATGGTATAAAACTGCCCCTAGTAGAGGAAAATGACCAAAGCTCTGTGTTTTGGCACTGTTTAGAGGCTAAAAATGGCTTTTTCTCGCCTACCTCTTGCCCAGACTTCAGAAAGATGCCAAAAAACACCCAAAGCAAGGAAAAATACCCAAAGCAAGGAAAAAAAAAACACCAAAAATGAGGAAAAACCCACCAAACCTGGCGGTCTGTGTGTGTTTTCTGGTCTTACCCAGTTGACCCCAAGCTTTCCTCGGGCCGAAACGGGGGGGGAAGGGAAGCAAGCGGCTGCTCGGGTAATTTTGGGCTGAAAAAGCCTGAAATCGGTCAATTCCCCACGAGCGCCTCCGAGAGGCAGCCGAGCGCAGCGTGAGCGAGGACTACAACTCCCAGCATCCCCCGCTGCTCCGCCCCACGTGACTTCCCCGGACCAATAGGAGCGGGCGCCACGGCGGAGGCGGGTGCCGGCGGCAGGAAGTGACGTCAGGGGAGGATGCCGGGAGGCGGGGCGCCGTGTGGTGAGGGGGGGTCCCGGTCCCGGTCTCGGTGCCTCCGAACCCGGGGGCCCGGCCTGAGGCGCTGGGGCCGGTTCCGGCCCGGCCCGGCCCGCACTGAGGCGCCCGGTGCTGAGGCGTCGCTGCGCGGTGACAGTGATCGCTGAGGTGCGCTGGGGCGGCGGGACGGGGGGGGGTCACCGGCACCGGGAAGCGGCGCTCGCGGTGTGAACGGACACCGAAGGGACGTGGAGAGAGCCCAGGGAAGGCCGTGGGGGGGCTGGGGCTGCTCTGCTCTGGAGCCAGGCTGAGAGAGCTGGGCTGGGGCAGCCTGGAGAAGAGAAGGCTCCTGAAGGGGAGACCTGAGAGCAGCTCCAGTGCCTGAAGGGGCTGCAGGAAAGCTGGAGAGGGGCTTGGGACAAGGGATGTAGGGACAGGCCAAGGGGAATGGCTTGAACCTGCCCGAGGGGAGACTGAGATGAGCTCTTAGGCAGAAGCTCTTCCCTGTGAGGGTGCTGAGGCGCTGGCACAGGGTGCCCAGAGAAGCTGTGGCTGCCCCATCCCTGGCAGTGTTCAAGGCCAGGTTGGACACAGGGGCTTGGAGCAAGCTGCTCCAGTAGAAGGGGTCCCTGCCCGTGGCACTGGATGAGCTTTAAGGTCCCTTCAACCCAAACTGGTCTGTGTGGGTCCATGGCACAAACATCCCCTGCCTCAGTGCCCTGGGAAGGGGAGGGTTTGGCCATGGTTGGGACCAGTGTGGGGAGACAGAGTGTGCAGAAACCCAGCCTGAGTGGGTATGGGGGCAATGGCCCCATTGACACTGGGTTTTCTCCCCATCCCTTCTGCCCTGTCATCTCCACGTCAGTGCTGCTCAAGGTGTCTTTGAGCCCCTTGTCACACATCCCCCAGATCTGTTTGCATCCCACATCCTTCATTTAATGTTATGTACCCCCAGGGATGAACCCCTTTTTCCATGCACCAAAACCTCCCTTTTCACCCCCATTTGCCTCCTGCTGTGCTGAGCCTGGGAAATAGCATGGGATGGGTGTCATGGTGGGTGCTTGGTCACACAGGGTGATGCTGTGTCCCACCTGGGTGTCACTTTCCTCCCCTCTGGCACTGCAAAGACAGGGGCCATCACCCTCACGGTGCTGTCCCCCCATCCCCAGTGCTGCTTACCCCCTCCGCTGCCTGATCTCTGCCCATCCAGGTTCTCCAGAGGATGGAGCCAGCATCGGTGAGGACCAAGGTCCCCTCCTTCCTGTCTGACCTGGGGAAAGCCACGCTCCGGGGCATCCGGAAATGCCCCCGCTGCGGCACCTACAACGGGATGCGAGGCCTGAGCTGCAAGAACAAGACCTGCGGCACCGTCTTCCGCTACAGCACCCGCAAACAGCCCAGTGTCGACGCCGTCAAGATCATCACTGGCTCCGACTTGCAGGTCTATTCGGTGAGGCAGAGGGACCGGGGACCCGATTACCGGTGCTTTGTGGAGCTGGGGGTGTCCCAAACCACCATCCAGACGGTGGACGGCACCATCATCACGCAGCTCAGCTCCGGCCGCTGCTACGTGCCGTCGTGTCTGAAAGCAGCCACGCAAGGGGTGGTGGAGAACCAGTGCCAGCACATCAAGCTGGCCCTGAACTGCCAGACTGAGGCCACCCCGCTCGCCTTGAAGAGCTCGGTGCTCAACTCCATGCAGGCTTCACCTGAAACCAAGCAGACCATATGGCAGCTGGCAACAGAGCCCACGGGGCCGCTGGTGCAGCGCATCACCAAGAACGTGCTGGTGGTGAAGTGCAAGGCCAGCCAGAAGCACAGCCTGGGTTACCTGCACGCCTCCTTCGCCCAGAGGGTGAGCACCAAGACGCTGGCAGAGCACAGGTTCTCCTGCTCCTGCCAGGCTCCGAAGCCCATCAGAGGCAGCGCGGCCGAGGAGGAGACGCCGGCACCGCAGCGCTGCATTCATTTCTTCGCCTGCATCTGTGCCTTTGCCAGCGATGAGAGCTTGGCACAGGAGTTTGCTGATGTCCTCGCCTATGACTCTGGTGGTAGGTGAGGGGGGATGAGACATGCAGAGGATTTTGGAGGGGGCATCATGGGGCCGCTCGCTCTGTCCTGCTCCCCTCCCTCCTCCTCGTGCCCTGGCAGGTTCCTCACTGTTCCCTCATAGCTGGGGCTTTAGTTCCTGCCCCGTCCCTCTGCAGGGAGAAAGCTGCTTGTGGAATGATCCCTCTTGGACATGGCAGCTTGCTCCTGGATCCTGGAGTGTGGAAGCAGAGTGGGTGCTCCCTGTGATCCCCTGGGAGCTGGTTGTGGGGGTGAGGAGCAAGTGCAGAGGAGGCCACGAGGATGCTCAGGGGCTGGAGCCAGGCTGAGAACACTGGGGCTGTTCAGCCTGGAGAAGAGAAGCTGCGTGGAGACCTCAGAGCAGCTTCCAGTGTCTGAAGGGGGCTACAAGGATGCTGGGGAGGGATCTTTCATCAGGGACTGCAGTGATAGGACAAGGGGTGATGGGTTCAGACTGAAACGGGGAGTTCAGGTTGGAGATAAGGCAGAAGCTCTTCCCTGTGAGGGTGCTGAGGCGCTGGCACAGGGTGCCCAGAGAAGCTGTGGCTGCCCCATCCCTGGCAGTGTTCAAGGCCAGGTTGGACACAGGGGCTTGGAGCAAGCTGCTCTATGGAAGGGGTCCCTGCCCGTGGCAGGGGTTGGAACTGGATGAGCTTTAAGGTCCCTTCCAACCCAAACCAGGCTGATTCTATTCTGTGGTTCTATGGATGCAGATCTCCCCGGGCTTTGCTGTGCTCAGGGCAAGCTGGGCTCCTCTTCTGGGCTGGTTGTTGGGTGTCCTCCTCCCCTTGGGCCAGAGCTGTGTGGGGGGAAGCCCAGCTCAGTGTGAGCCTCTGGGGTGCAGTCCCTCAGGGGGTTCTTCACCCCAGAAGGTGCCCCTGGGTAATCCCATTGTGTCTTTTGGCACCCAAGGAATGTGACAGAGGTGACATGAGGGCATTATGTTCCCCTCAATATTCTCCACATAGAACTGTGTGTCTGCAGGGCCAGAAGGGCTTTAGAGCATCTCTGAGGATGTTTGGGAGCATCTCAGGGGAGCAGTTGCTGATGTGGGCAGGGGAACACAGGACTTCCATGTCCCTGCAGCACTGATGCATGTAGAGTTGTGTGTTTCTCCTAGGGGTGAAGGGGATGGTGGTGCCGCAGGCAGTCGGTGGTCCCCAGTCCCTGGTGCAGGCAGGAGAAGCAGCTGCTGCCAAGCCCAAGAAGAGGAAAAAGGACCCAGCACCCGGTGAGCATCAACTGGAGGCTCTGTGGGCTGAGGAAGATGTGGGCTGAAGGCAAAAGCCATTGTGTGGGGTGCCTGTGGAGCCCCCACACTTGTGCCCTGATGCTCTCTTAATCCATCCCTCAGGGGCACAGGCCAGCAGCCTTCTCCCTGCGCAGGACCTGGCTCACAGCAACCCCAGGAGAAGCAGCCTGAAGAAGCCAGCAGTTGCCTCTTCCTCGCTGAAGAGACAAGGTGAGCCTTGGCCACGCATCTCACTGGAGGCTGGGAGCACTCAGGACCAGGTGGATGCCCGGAGCCATTCAGTTCATGCTGTCATAGAATCGTTTAGGTTGGAAAAGACCTTTAAAGATCATCAATTCCAGCCTTAAACTTAACACCCCTGAGGCTCTGATCTCCATTCCCTTTCTCCTGCAGGCTGTCCCCAGCTGCTGGATGAGTCCCAAGTGACCTTCTCCTTCCAGGAGTGGCTGGCCAGTGTCACCGAGCGCATCCACCAAACCATGCATTACCAGTTCGAGGGTACGGCTTTGGGGACCCTTTGGGTGTCAATCCTCTCCCTTCCATGCACAACCTCCATTGTGAAGCTCTTGGCAGTGTTCAAGGCCAAGTTGAACAGAGCAGTGGGCGACATGGTCTAGTGTGAGGTGTCCCTGCCCATGGCAGGGGGTTGGAACTGGATGATCCTAAGGTCCTTTCCAACCCATTTTGATCCTATGAAGTAACTGCTGGCCCCAAGCAGTTGCTTTGAGAAGTTTCTGCCTGCTTTGGGTTGTTCCCCTGAACATGGACTTACTATTGGCAGCCTGGTGCTGGTGCTTATGCTGAGAAGGGAGAAACATCTGAGGGGGATCAGCCCTTTCCAAGCACCATAAGAGCAGTGAGTGTCACACCAGGCAAACCCACACATCCTGCTGTGTGTCACTGTGAGCATCACTGGCCTCCAGCACGCTGCTGGCAGTGAGGGCAGAGGCACAACCTGCTGTGCTTGGCAAAGGGTTGGACTCCATGATCCCAAGAGTCACACCCAGATGTGTTCTTAAAGACAGGGAAGTTGTCACCACCCAGCTTTGCAAACAAGGCCCCATCACTGCACGCCCCAGGCCAGGGCAGACAGGGACATACCAGGACAGCAATGGACACAAGCAGCAGCCTGTGAGCTCTGCAGTGAAGGTGGTCAGATGCTGGAACAGCTGGAGTGTCCCCACTCAGCCCTGCCTCTCCCCTGCCCTCAGCCCTTGTCTTCCCATTCATACCCACACAGGCAAGCCCGAGCCACTGGTGTTCCACATCCCTCAGGCTTTCTTCGAGGCGCTGCAGCAGAGGATCTCCAGTGGGAGCACAAAGAAGAGGCTGCCCAACTCCACCACTGGTAGGGGAGAGCACCCTGCGCTGGGTTAGGGCAGTGTGTGAAGGGGGCTGCAAGGATGCTGGAGAGGGGCTCTTCATCAGGGACTGTAGGGATGGGACAAGGGGTGATGGGTTCAGACTGAAACAGGGGGAGTTCAGGTTGGAGATAAGGCAGAAGTGATTTATGTGAGGGTGCTGAGGCGCTGGCACAGGGTGCCCAGAGAAGCTGTGGCTGCCCCATCCCTGGCAGTGCTCAAGGCCAGGTTGGACACAGGGGCTTGGAGCAAGCTGCTCCAGTGGAAGGGGCCCCTGCCCATGGCAGGGGTTGGAACTGGGTGAGCTTTAAGGTCCCTTCCAACCCAAACTAGCCTGGGATTCAATGCCAAAGGCAGGTAGCTGCAGTCAGGAGCACAAGAGGGGTGCAGAAGAGCACCCCAAGGTCCCAGTGAGCTGCAGCCCCCCCCAGTCCCTCACCACCCTTTTCCCTCCCCACAGCTTTTGTCCGTAAGGACGCTCTCCCCTTGGGCACCTTCTCCAAGTACACGTGGCACATCACCAACGTGCTGCAGGTCAAACAGATCTTCGATACCCCAGAGGTAAGGGGGGAGGCAGCCCCCAGCCCCACCACCTCCCCTTATACCCCCCCAGCCCCTCACCAGCTCCTTCCCTCTCTCTTGGCAGCTACCACTGGAGATCACACGCAGCTTCATCCAGAACCAGGATGGGACCTACGAGGTGTTCAGGTGCCCCAAGGTGGAGGTGGAGAGCATCGCCAAGGCCTATGGGCACCCCAAGAAGCCACCCATCCGGCCCCTGGAGCTGCAGACCTTCCTCAAAGTGGGTGAGTGGGTCAGGCTGGGGGGGGCACAGGCCCTACCCTCCACCACAGAATGGTCTCAGACAACTGAGGTGGTCCCACACCATCTCCAGGAAGAGCAAAAACCTCCCCTCTGTCCCCAGCCGGGGTGGGCACCACCTTCCTCTTCCCCTGCAGGAACCTGCAGAGGCAACCAGTGCACACCCCCAGGGGGGAAAATGCCCCCCAGAACTCACCCAGCCCCTCAAAACTCCACCTTGGCTCCTTCCCCAGGGAGCTGCAGCACAAGAACACGGCACAAGGGGGACACAGGGGCCCCATTTCCTCATCCTTCATCCCTAGAGAAAGCCCCCAAATCTGACCTTGCTCTTCTTCCTCTTCAGCAACCTGCACCCCCCAGAGGAGATGAGCCCCAGACCTCCCCTCCGGGGTCTTGTGCTGCTCCTTCAGGAGCCTGCAACAACACCAAACCCGCACCCCAAAGCCAGCCACGGCTCAGCCTGCACAAAGGGGGACTCCCACTGCGACACCCCCAGCATTAAAGGGGGAGCTCACATTCTCTTACCCTTAAAGGCCCTAAAGCTCTCACCAGCCTCTTCCAGGAACCTGCACCAACACCAACCACCCCAACAGCAACCATCACCACACAAACACCAACACCACAGCACCACCACCGCAGCAATACAAATAACCAACACCACACTACTACCAGCACCACCACTGTCACACCAATACCAATACAACACCATAGCACAAACACCACTCCACCAACACCGCCACCACCACTACCACACCACTACCAACACCATAGTACAAACACCACTACACCGCTACCACTACCACCACCACAACAGTACCAACACTGCTACCACCAATACCCCCACCACACCAATACCAACACCATAGCACAAACACCACTACACCACCACCACACCACTACCAACAGCAGTACTACCAATACCACCACCACCACACCAATACCAACACCATAGCACAAATAACTACACCAACACCACCACCACACCAGTACCAACACTACTACCACCAATACCACCACCACCACACCAATACCAACACCATAGCACAAACACCACTACACCACCACCACACCAGTACCAACAGCAGTACTACCAATACCACCACCACCACACCAATACCAACACCATAGCACAAACACCACTCCACCAACACCATTACCACACCACTACCACCACCACACCACTACCACCACCCCGCCACCTCAAGGGGCACCGGGACCCACACTCTCTCCCTCTCCCCACAGGGAACACATCTCCCACCCAGAAGGAGCCGACCCCCTTCATCATCGAGTGGATCCCCAACATCCTGCCCCAGGCCCGCATCGGGGAGCTCCGCATCAAGTTCCAGTACGGGCACCACGGCAGCCCCCGGCCCAGCGCCCGGCACCGGCCCCCTGGCACCGTGGAGCCGGGCCTGGAGCTCACCCCACTCAGCACCATCCCCTTCTCGTGAGCCCCCCGACAGCACCACGGGGACAGGGCACGGGAGCCCCCACAGAATAAAGCTCACGCTCACCCCATGCCCTGCGCCTCCTGCACCCACCATGGGGGAGGAAAGAGGGGGGGGCTTCACCCAGGCGGGTTTGGGGGCTGAAAGGGACCCCAAGGGTCTCCACACACTGCAGAGCCCAGCAGGAAGAGCTGCAGCACAGCCTGGGAGGAAAGAGGGGCACCCAGGCAGGGCTACCAGCATCCCTGTGAGAGCACAGGGCCCATGGTAAAGCCATCACCACCTCCAAAACAGAGAGGGGGACCCCGTCACCCCATCTCATCCCTTGTTCCATCCATCCCATCCCATCCATCCTCCAGCAGAACCCAGGACTCCCATCTTCATCATGGGGTGGATGCAGGCTGAGGGACTGGCTGGATACAGCTAGGCTCTTTTCCAACCTTGTTGATTCTGTGAGTCTATGGTGGATGGAGAGTGTGGGATGAAGGATGCAGGATGGAGGGATGCAGAGTGGAAGATGTGAGATATGGGATTGAGGGTTTGGTATGAAGGATGTGGGATGGAGGGATGCAGAGTGGAAGATGTGAGATATGGGATTGAGGGTTTGGTATGAAGGATGTGGGATTGAGGGTTTGGTATGAAGGATGCAGGATGGAGGGATGCAGGGTGGAAGATGTGAGATATGGGATTGAGGGTTTGGTATGAAGGATGTGGGATGGAGGGATGCAGAGTGGAAGATGTGAGATATGGGATTGAGGGTTTGGTATGAAGGATGTGGGATTGAGGGTTTGGTATGAAGTATGCAGGATGGAGGGATGCAGGGTGGAAGATGTGAGATATGGGATTGAGGGTTTGGTATGAAGGATGTGGGATTGAGGGTTTGGTATGAAGGATGCAGGATGGAGGGATGCAGAGCGGAAGATGTGAGATATGGGACTGAGGGATTGGTATGAAGGATGAGGGATGGAGGGATGCAGAGTGGAAGATGTGAGATATGGGATTGAGGGTTTGGTATGAAGGATGTGGGATGGAGGGATGCAGAGTGGAAGATGTGAGATACGGGATTGAGGGTTTGGTATGAAGGATACAGGATGGAGGGATGCAGGGTGGAAGATGTGAGATATGGGACTGAGGGTTTGGTATGAAGGATGTGGGATGGAGGGATGCAGAGTGGAAGATGTGAGATACGGGATTGAGGGTTTGGTATGAAGGATACAGGATGGAGGGATGCAGGGTGGAAGATGTGAGATATGGGACTGAGGGTTTGGTATGAAGGATGTGGGATGGAGGGATGCAGAGTGGAAGATGTGAGATACGGGATTGAGGGTTTGGTATGAAGGATACAGGATGGAGGGATGCAGAGTGGAAGATGTGAGATACGGGATTGAGGGTTTGGTATGAAGGATGCAGGATGGAGGGATGCAGAGTGGAAGATGTGAGATATGGGATGGAGGGATGCAGAGTGGAAGATGTGAGATACGGGATTGAGGGTTTGGTATGAAGGATGTGGGATGGAGGGATGCAGAGTGGAAGATGTGAGATATGGGATTGAGGGTTTGGTATGAAGGATGCAGGACAGAGGATGCACTGGGAAGGGTGCAGGATGCAGGATGCTTCCTGCAGGTGCAAGGTATGGCAACAGATGGAGCCTGCCCATGGCAGCTCCATACAGGAACTGTGGCCATTACCCAGGACAACTCCATGGGGCTGGAATCAAGGGGCTGAGCCCTGACACAGGTCAGTGCCTGCCCTGCTTGTCCCCTGCTTTCCAAAGCAGCAGAGACTGCATTCAGGGATGGGCATGGGGACCTAAACCCCAGGACAACCCCACACCATAGGGAAAGCCCCAGACCCTTCCAGCAGCAGCAAAGCTCTGTCCTGTTGGGTACCAAAATGGGATGGAGGCAGCGGGATAGGGAAGGGGAGATGGAGGCAGCAGGATGGGGAAGGGAGGGATGGAGGCAGTGGGATAGGAAAGGGAGGGATGGAGAAGGGAGAGATGGAGGCAGCAGGATAGGGAAAGGTGGGATGGAGAAGGGAGAGATGGAGGCGGTGGGATGGGGAAGGGCAGGATGGAGGCAGCGGGATGGGGAAGGGAGGGATGGAGGCAGCAGGATAGGGAAGAGTGGGATGGGGAAGGAGAGATGGAGGCAGCAGGATGGAGAAGGGAGGGATGGAGGCAGTGGGATAGGAAAGGGAGGGATGGAGTCAGCGGGATGGGGAAGGGAGGGATGGAGAAGGGAGAGATGGAGGCAGCAGGACGGGGAAGGGAGGGATGGAGGCAATGGGATGGAGAAGGGAGAGATGGAGGCAGTGGGATGGGGAAGGAGTGGGATGGGGATGGGATGGGATGGGAAGGGAGAGATGGAGGCAGTGGGATGGGGAAAGGAGGGATGGAGAAGGGAGAGATGGAGAAGGGAGAGATGGAGGCAGCGGGATGGAGAAGGGAGAGATGGAGGCAGCGGGATGGGGAAGGGAGGGATGGAGGCAGCAGGATGGGGAAGGGAGAGATGGAGGCAGTGGGATGGGGAAAGGAGGGATGGAGGCAGTGGGATGGAGAAGGGAGAGATGGAGGCAGTGGGATGGGGAAAGGAGGGATGGAGGCGGCGGGATGGAGAAGGGAGAGATGGAGGCAGTGGGATGGAGAAGGGAGAGATGGAGGCAGTGGGATGGGGAAAGGAGGGATGGAGGCGGCGGGATGGGAGAAGGGAGAGGGAGAGATGGAGGCAGCAGAGATGGAGGCAGCAGGATGGGGAAGGGAGGGATGGAGGCAATGGGATGGAGAAGGGAGAGATGGAGGCGGTGGGATGGGGAAGGGAGGGATGGAGGCAGCAGGATAGGGAAGAGTGGGATGGAGAAGGGAGAGATGGAGGCAGCAGGATGGAGAAGGGAGGGATGGAGGCAGCGGGATGGAGGCACAAGGTTCTCTGTCATCCTGCAATAATTTATTCTCTAACAACAGTCAGAACAGTCCAACGAGACAGAATTACCCCTGTACCCAGCAAACGCCTGCTCCAACACGTGCTCCAACAGGCGCCATCAAAAAAGCACCATCAGATGGTCCTGACACAGGACTGGGGATGACAACGGGGTATGTACAGCAGGACCAGAACGGCTGGAAACACAATTCCCATTCTCCCAGCTGGCGGAGCCAGAGCGGGATCGGCTTCTCGGGAAGCAAAAAGATGAAATGAATGCAACAGAAAAGGTGGAAAAGCACCAAATGTGACCCCCAAACAAAAGCCCAACAAACCCCAACCCAACGCTGCGATGCTTCTTGGTGAGGGTGTTCCAATGGCTCACGGGCTGGAGAAAGCAAGAGGATGAAACTAACCTTGTGGCTTTCAGCAGTGAGGAGGTGATGATTCCCAGGAAGCACAGGGCTTGGATACAGTGGTTTTCCTCGTGTCCAGCCCCAAAACGGCTCCAAACAAAGGTCCTAACCCATTGCTACAGGGGGGGACAAACCAGGCAGCAAAGCACCACTTCCTCTGGAGAGACCCCCCCCCGTTCCCTGCCTGGAATTGGGTCTCACCTCCCTTAATGGTGGTTTGGGATGAGGAAAAAAAAAAGGCAAAAGGAAACTAACCCAAAAAAGCGTGTTTTCAACCCAGGTCTGTGCCACGACCATCGCAAACGTGGGGCGAGCGAGCAGCTCCTCGCCCCCTCTTGCGAATCCCCATCTACGCAAGTGTCCTACCTGCAGCTTAGTTCTTAGGAATGCTGGTGGATCAGTGAATTCCAAGGAAAAGGCTGGCAAAGAGGGGACCTGGAGAGACCCAGAGCCGCTGCAGACGGGCCCGGCTGCTCACCAGGATTCCAGCGCCGCGTTTCCAGCCCCATTCCAGGTTAGTGCATCCGTTTGGAGGGTTCCTGTTTCTCTTTGCTCCCAGGCCGGAGTGGGATCATCCCAACAGTGCAAAGGTCTGGTACTTGGTAGGGATAGAAAGAAGAGGGCAAGAAGGTGGAGGGTAACAGACACAGCACTGAGAGAAGCAGTAAGTGATGCTGAGCTGAAACCTTGAGACTCAAAACCTCAACTTCTTCCTACCTCCCATTCAACCCTTCCCTGCTCAGAGGTAGTGCGATCCGGAGCTCCATTGGGAATGCCAAGGTGGTTCCAGAAGAGGGCAAGGGAGGGCTCTTGGCAAACAAAGGGCTGATATTCCACTTCCTTTTATTGTGCTTTGCCACTTTCTGCCTTGAAAGCTCAGGATAGCCAAGGCTGGATGCTGGGATTGGGGAATGCCGATGCTGAAGGCATCCGGGTCCATGCTGGATGCTGGATGTTGGAAAACTCCAGATGCTTAAAACCAAATGGTTTTGGGTTTGGGTTTGGGTTTCCTCTCTTAAAACCCAGCAGAAAGAGCTGAGATTTGGGAGACTGCAGTGATTTGGCAGCTCTGTCCCCCATCCTCCCACTGCTCAGAGGCTTCAAGTGATCCAAACCCAGATTTGGGATGTTAGTAAGGAATAAAAAGGAAATAAACCAGGAATTGAGTTGGATTTTCTCCATTTCCCTGCGCTTTGGAGGCTTCACTTGGAGAAATCCTGGAAGAACGAAGTGGTTCCTTGCCCAATGCTGGAGCCCAACAGGGATCGAGAGGTTTGCTGAGAGGTGGAAAAGACCTTTGCCTGGCTCGAGGAGAAAAGGAATACTTCCATTAGCAGACCCCTACGTGTAAAGTATCCACAACATCCATAAAAGCACAAAGTCCTAAGAAGGTCACCTCCAGAACACGGGAAAATGAACAAACTGCTTATAGCTCCTGTGCTCTCTGTGCTTTCTAACTGGGGCCCTGGGTCCTTCTTGGCATGTTCAGGTTTGTGTCCCTGAAGGCAGCGACCAAAATCCTCCAGGAGCCCCTTGGAGTGCCCAGGAGATCGCTGCTGGATGGAGAAGTGCTTGGGATGGGCTGGTTATTGCTGAGCCATCAACCACAGCGGCTTATTGTGCGAGACACGAGGCATCCTCTGGGGGGGGGGTTGTGCTAAAGGCATGGAGGTAATCTCTGTTCATCTCTCCGAGGTAGAAAAACGTCTTGTCCCAGAGACAAGAAGGGCGGAAAA